AAATAAATAAATAAACAGGAATTTTGGATCAAAAAAAATATATATATCACATGCAAGTAAAATCTTGCTAAAGATAATACAAAAAAGGCTGGAACCATACATTGACAGAGAACTTTCAGAGGTTCAAGCCAGATTCAGAAGAGGATGTGGAACAAGGGATATCATTCCTAATGTCAGATGGATTTGGGCTGAAAGCAGAGAATACCAGAAAGATGTTTACCTGTGCTTTATTGAGTACACAAAGGCTTTCAGTTGTGTGGATCATGACAAGCTATGGACAACATTGTGAAGAATGAGTATTCCCAAACACTTAATTGTGCTCATGAGGAATCTGTACATAGATCAAAAGGCAGTTGTTCAAACAGAACAAGGGAATACTGATTGGTTTTAAATTAGGAAAGGTGTGTTCCAGGGTTGTTTTCTTTCACCATACTTAGTTAATCTGTATGCTGAGCAAATAATTCGAGAAGCTGGGTTATATGAAAAGTGTAGCATCATAATTAGAAGAAGATATTAACAACCTGCGAGATGCAGATGATACAAACTTGCTTGCTGAAAGTGAAGACGTAAAATATTTAATGATGAAGATCAAAGACCACAGCCTTCAGTATGTGTTGCATGTCAATGTAAAGAAAACAAAATCCTCACAACTGCACCATTAAACAATATCCATATAAATGAAGAAAAGCTTGAAATTGTCAAATACTTCATTTTGCTCTGATCAACCATCAAAACTCATGAAAGCAGCAATCAAGAAATCAAACAATGTATTGCATTAGGCAATTCTGCTGCACAAGACCTCTCTAAAGTGTGGAAGAGCAAAGGTGTAAGGTGTGCCTGATCCAAGCCATGGTATTTTCAGTAACCTCATATGCATGTGAAACTTGAACAGTGAATAAGGAGGACTGTAGAAGAATTGATGAATTTGAGTTATGGTGTTGGAGGAGAATATTAAAAGTACCATGGACTTTCCAACCTGAGTATATTGCTATGGCGCCTGCAAAGAAGGGTGGCGAGAAGAAGGGTCGTTCTGCTATCAACGAAGTGGTTACCAGAGAGTACACCATCAACATTCACAAGCGCATCCATGGAGTAGGCTTCAAGAAGTGTGCCCCTTGAGCACTCAAGGAGATTCGGAAATTTGCCATGAAGGAGATGGGAACACCAGATGTACGCATTGACACCAGGCTCAACAAAGCTGTCTGGGCCAAAGGAATCAGGAACGTCCCATACCGTATCCGGGTGCGGTTGTCCAGAAAACGTAATGAGGATGAAGATTCACCAAACAAACTCTATACACTGGTGACCTATGTGGCTGTCACCACCTTCAAAAACCTACAGACAGTCAATGTGGACGAAAACTAATAGTTTATGATCAAATAAATGTATAAATCTGCAAAAAAAAAAAAGTACCATGGACTGCCAAAAGAACAAACCAATCTGTGTTGGAAGAAGTACAACCAGAATGCTCCTTGGATGCCAAGATGGCCAGACTTCATCTCTCATACTTTGGACATAATCTCAGGAGGGACCAATCCCTGAAGAAGGATATAATGTTTGGTCAAGTGAAGGGTTGAAGAAAAAGAGGAAGAGCCCCCAACAAGATGAATTAGCACAGTGATGGCAGCAATGTCTCAGGCTTAGCCATGATTGTGAGGTTGGTGCAGGACTGGGCAGTGTTTCGTTCTGTTATGCATAAGGTCATTATGAGTTGGTGCCAATTTGATGGCACCTAACAACAACAACATTGCCTTTTAATTTGAAATATATAATTTATTTACATTTAATGTAATTATTAGTGTGGATGGATTTACATATGTGATTTTAGAAATTTCTATTTTTCTCATATACATTTTGTTTCTGTTTTTTTTCTGCATGATAATGGCATTTTAGAAATGAAAGCAACCTCACAGTTTACCTAGTCCAACCTCTTCACTCTACAGATGACACAGAAGCTTAGAGAGATGCTGTGACATTCCCACAGTGACATAACTACAACCCATGCTTCTTTAGGCATTATGTGACCCAGACATCATTACTCAGAATCTAGGACCAGGAAATATCTGACCATTTGGTCATAGCCATGTGAGTTAGGAGTTAAACCCATCCAGGTGTATTTGGGGATAATGAGATTAAGTCAAATGATGGCTTGCATTATCATTAGCAAGGAAGAGAAAAGCTTAGAATTCAAAGGATATTTTTAAGTGCTTGTATGAGGGGGCTTCAAAAAGTGGAAAATTCCATTATCTTTCTTTTCCATTTTTCCATAAACTTAAAAAAAAAACAACTCTTGTATAGTTCCCTGAAAGTTTTTAATTTTGATTAACTATTTCTTTCAGGTCAGAATCTTCATAATTTGGGCAAACTGAAAATTATTGATTTATCTGAAAATTACCTGGAAAAGGATGGAAATGAAGCTCTACATGAACTGAGTAAGAATAACAATTCAGCCAAATTCAGATACTTGAATATGTGTACTAACTTGTCAAAAAGACATAGCTTGATCCCTGAGGTCTCTTTTACCCAATGTTTTTATTGTTGTTATGTGCCATCGAGTCAATTCTGACTCATAGTGACCCTGTGTAGGGTTTCCAACGAGTGACTGGTGAGTTTGATTAGCACTTTGGGGCTGATCCTACAGCGCCACACCAGGACTCCCTTTTACCCAATTGTTGTTGTTATGTGCCTTGGAGTTGGTTCCGACTCATAATGACCCTGTACAGGGTTTCCGAGGCTGTAAATCTTTACGGGAGCAGAAAACCTCATCTTTCTCCCGCAGAACAGCTGGTAGTTTCGAACTGCTAATCTTGCATGGTTCACAGCCCAATTCGTAACCACTACACTACCAAAGCTCCTTTTTTACCCAATGTTGTTGTTGTTGTTGTCAGGTGCCATCGAGTCAGAACCGACTCATAGCGACCCCATGCATAGCAGAATGAAACAATGTCCGATCCTGGGCCAACCTCACTACTGCTGCCACACTTGACGCCATCAATGATGCCACCTGGCTGGTCCATCTCGTTGGGGGTCTTCCTCTTTTTCTCTGACCCTCCATCTTACCTAGCATGACATCCTTCTCCAGTGACTGTTCCCTCCTGACAATATGTCCAAAGTATGAAAGATGAAGCTTAACCATCCTGGCCTCCAAGGAGCACTCTGGCTGCACTTCTTCCAAAACAGATCTATTCGTTCTTTTGGCTACATTGAGCTATTGATGGACACATGTATTGATGCCATCATTTATTTAATGTGAATAATATTGCAATAACATTGACTTCAAGTCTCTTGAACTTGAATTGCTATTTCAAATGGTAATTCTAAGTTTACCTTTATAGAGAAACCCCAAAGTAAGTTCTACGATTTGGTTTCCATGAACCATTTTACATTCCCACAAATATTGCACAAGAGTTCCAGTTTCTCCACATCTTTGCCATTTTATTTCTTTCTGATAATAGCCACTCTAGTAGAGGGAAAGTGGTATCTCATTATGATTTTGATTTGTGTATCCCTAAGGCACCTAACAGAGTCCTGGTGTGGTGCTGTGGGTTAATGCGCCAGACTGCAAAGTTGTTTGAACTGCAAGGTCGGTAGTTCAAGCTGACCAGCTACTCTTCAGAAACCCTGTATAGGGTTGCTATGGGTCGGAACCAACTCAAAGACACTTAACAACAACCAAAAATAACTAATAATATTGAGCATCTTATCATGTGCTTATTGGCTGTTTATCTTCTTGGAGAAATATCTATTCAAATCCTTTGTCCATTTTTAAATTGGAATGTTTGTGTTTTTGTGTTGAGTTGTAGGACTTGTTTATATATTTTGGATACTAAAACTTATCAGATATGTGGTCACCAAATGTTTTCCACCATTCTATAGATTGTCTCTTCATCTTCTTGATGAAGTCCTTTGATAGTTCATTTTTAATTTGGACACAGGACTTGAACAGACAGTTCACGAATAGGAGTGGAAATGCTGAAAGAGGCCCTGGAAAAGGGCATCGCACTTGGTAGAGTGTCAGCAAAAAAGAGGAGCCTCCTCAACAAGATAAGTTGACACAATATCTGCAACAATGGGCTTAAACATGCAATGATTGTTAGGACAATGCAGGACTGGTCTGGGTTTTGTTCTGTTGTACACAGGGTTACAATGAGTCAGAACTCACTTGACAGTATCTAATAACAAGGTAATTCTATTTTTTTATTTTTTTGAGGAAGTGTTATACTGTTTTCCATAGCAAATGTATGTTTTAAATTCTCACATGCAGTGGATAAGTGTTCCAATCGCCTTACGTTCTCACCAACATTTGTTGTTTTCTGTTTTTTTTTTTTTTTTTTAAATCAGTGCCATTATAGCAGAGTTGAAGTGGTATCTCATTGAAGTTTTGATTTGTATCACTCTAAAGGATCTCTGGTAGTGTAGTGGTTCTGAGTTAAGCTGCTAACCTCAAGATCAGCAGTTTAAAACTACCAGCTGTTCCACGGGAGAAAGATAAGGCTTTCTGCTCCATAAAGATTTACAGTCTTGGAAACCCTATATAGGATCGCTATGAGTCAGAAGCAACTCTACATCACATCACCACCACCACCAATGGCTAATGACAATGAGCATCTTTTCATGTGTTTGCTGGCCACTTGAATATCCTTTTTGGTGAAGTGTTTGTTCAGTCTTTTGCCAGTCTTTTTATTGGGTTGTCATTTTGTTCTTAAGTTATAAAAGATA